TTTTGTTGACCTTTGTCCATGGAAGGTCCCTGCAAAATTTCATTGAAATTGGTTCAGGGGTTTTGGAGAAGAAGTCGAAAATGTAAATTGTTTACGGACGCACGACGGACGACGGACGACGGACGACGACGGACAAAAGGCGATCGCAATAGGTCACTTGAGACTTTGTCTCAGGTGACCTAAAAACCCACTTGCAATACATCAACATCGTACAAGTTCTTCAGATAACGTCATAATTAACTGTAAAAGCTATGAATATATAGGAGCTTACATGAATTTCAATTTCATATGAGATTTATAAAACGAGTCTAAGAATTTTTCAATTTAGCGAACCTCTGGCGAGCTAAAATGAAAAATTCGTGACGAGTTTCATCAATTTCATATGTAATGAAAACAAGTATAAGATCCTTTTATATCACATAATCAAGATTTGTGGCATTTATGCGTGTAAAACGACAATTTTCATGCAACCTTGAAATGTAAAAAGCCGCAATTTTGACTCCAGTGCTTAAGTGTGTGACGTCATGTACTTGTCATTGGCATGACGTCACAATTGAAACACTTGAATCTTGCAACCAATCACAGGATTGATAGGGCATATTACATAGGCTAATACGCAAAAAATATGACATGGGTTTATTCACTGAATAACATAGTACATTATGTGAAAAATACATACGCTTTTGTTGCCAAATTGTTTGTGTATGTACATCCTAGAGGGACAGTCAGCTTTATTGTAAGTTCTAACTCTCCATTTTCCTGGAGAATATCTCCCGAAAGCTCCGCCTGTTAACGTAAATAATGATAATAATAATTCGAGGTTCTTATATACCGTTTTATCACAATATAGGCCGTCGGTCGTCCAAAAGCGGATCACAAATTACTATCCGTGGTTATAGGACCTTTGCAACTAGCCAATATCTTTCTGAACTGCATGGGGAGCATACAGCCGGTGCTGGCACTTCGGCACTCACAGCTAGCATTCTATAATTCTAGCACTACCCAACCACGAACTCGTTTACAGCTGACTAGACTGGAACAAGCGAAGTAAAGTATCTTGCTCAAAGATACAACACAGTGCCGTGCCGTGACTCTCACCCGCAACCATTCGGTCTCGAGCCCGGCATCCTACCACTAGACTACTGCGTCTCCTTAATAGTGAGGTGAGATATAATCGAATACTGTAGCCGTTATAATATATACGTTCTTAAAATTCAATTTTGTAATTATGGAAATATATTAATAGTTTACCAAGATAGACCTTATGAAAACATATTTTAATAACGCTGTAAAAAAACCTTACAACAAAATCATACTATTCTTTATTACACTGTATCGAAATTAGCAACCACATCATACTTTATTACACTGTATCAAAATTAGCAACCACATCATGCTTTATGTATTTCCTGTGTTTAGTAATCTTAATTTTTGAACGTCATGCAGCATATTTTAATCAAATATTTCAAACACAAGTTTATAGATCTAAATCCTATTTGGTAACTTACATCAATGTTCACAATATATTAGTGTATATCCTGTCACTATTTACGTTTTGCTATATTAACATATATGTATATTTCACTATAATGGTGCTTTAACCCTGATTAGAAATACTTGTGTGACATACACGTTCAATACTTAAACCGAGTTTTATAAATTCAAACCATTATGCTACCTTTCTGTGATTATGCATTTCTGCTTTGTTCGTGTACTTTGTTTTACTTGTTAAAATGCCTCTGTGATATTTGTTTGTCATTTAACTAGTGTTTGTCTCATTACCTGCATGTGATTGTTATTATACTTCATGTTTGTCGCAAGAATAGCACTACAGTGCTGATGTTTTATTGTTTTAAATATGCGACGGTAAATAATTATTCTTGTATCTTGTATCTTGTATAGTGTTCTAAGAAAGCTCTGTCTTTCTTAGATCCTTTCAGCAAAATGTTAGGGTTGTTGCATAATTCTGTATCAAAAGGTAGTGTTAATACAAAAACGATATCCCCTGTCACGTGACTTACTTTGAATCCAGCGTAGAAAGGAGAACTATGTTCAAAGTTGCCAGTCCCCGTAGAAACTTCAGTCTTTGCTTCAACAGCACACTTCACCTGTTGTTCAAATATAGAAAGATTTAGACTTTTTATGTTACCATACTTATACACAGCTTATCACAAATACATACACAGCTTATCACAAATACATACACAGCTTATCACAAATACATACACAGCTTATCACAAATACACCTAGTGATTTTGTTACCATACTTATACACAGCTTATCACAAAGTCACCCAGTGATTTTGTTACCATACTTATACACAGCTTATCACAAAGTCACCCAGTAATTTTGTTACCATACTTATACACAGTTATCACAAAACACCCAGTGATTTTGTTACCATACTTATACACAGCTTATCACAAAGTCACCCAGTGATTTTGTTACCATACTTATACACAGCTTATCACAAAACACCCAGTGATTTTGTTACCATGCTTATACACAGCTTATCACAAATACACCCAGTGATTTTGTAACCATACTTATGCACAGCTTATCACAAATACACCTAGTGATTTTGATACCATACTTATACACAGCTTATCACAAATACACCCAGTCATTATGTTACCATACTTATACGCAGCTTATCACAAATACACCTAGTCATTATGTTTCAAGATTCAAGATTTAAGAAGCTTTTTTTAACGTCGCATATACATGTAACATAATAACATTAGCACTGTAGTGCTATTCTTGCGACAAAACATATATAAAATTTAACAAGGACCACAGTACTTATGAATAACTATAAAATCAGGACAACAATTCAAATTAGATATGCTAAAATTATACAGTAGAGCATATGATATCACACTTGCATGTCACAGTCAAGTTAAGACACTATACTTGTGTAATGTACATATATGCTAATGTAGCAAAGTGTAAAAATTTACAGGATATACACTAATATAGTGTGAATCAAAAAGAGACAATGAAGTCATAAATAGAAACAAGAGCTATAATTATGATATTGTAAAAAAGTAATGATCTTTTAAATAATGGAGCTCAAATCTAAAATAAATATCAATTATATAATTAGTATATTACTGAAGTACATTAAATTAAATAACACAAGCAGCAGTGAAATTAAATTAAATAGTTGTTATATGAAACATGTAGGTAGACTCCAAAGGGGGACAACTCACACTATACGGTGTGTGCAGATAGCACATGAGCAGACATTTTTGTTGCAGGTGTGGAGCAGCCCACGAAACGACTTATAGTTTTCAGCTAATCGAAATTCATTTGGTAGGCTGTTCCACACCTGGGAAGCAGCAAATCGGAAAGATCTCTTACCATATGTGGAGGTGTTCACCTTTGGAATCTTTACCAGGTTATCTTGTCTCAGATTGTAAAAAACTTCTTTCCTCTCAACAAGATTTTGTAAAATTGATGGGGAAATTTCATTTAAAATTTTAAAAATCTCAGAGGCCATATCTTTCATACGTTTTACATGTAAAAAATCAAGTTTGTGTTTTCTAAGAATATCAATGACTGGGGAAACAATCATTTTCAATAAAACGAAGTGCTCGTTCCTGAACTTTTTCCATTTTTCGAGTATTTGTCAATGTACAAAAGTGCCAGGCAAGTGGACAATAGTTAAAATTTGATAGAATAAACAACTTAAAAATGGTAATTTTTCCTTTCTTTGTACGATTGTTTCCCAGTCTTTTTAAAACAGCAAGTTGTTTAGCAGCATTTCTGCAAAGGCGATATATATGTACATCGAATTTAAGAAGAAAGTCAATATCCACACCTAAAAGTTTCACACTGTCTCCACAAATAATCTCAAGGCTTTCAATATTAAAAGATTTGATAGTGTTACTATTCTTTTTGCCAAATCATATTGCCTGAAATTTCTCTGGATTGGCCTTCATACCATTAAAATCAAACAATTTTATAAGAACTTTGCTCTCTTTTTCTAAACAATCTTTCAAATATATATAATTGTCACAAATCTTAGATAGCGTGTTGTCATCTGCGTAATTGTATAAAATACATTTATCTACAAAGGTAAAAATATCATTCATAAAAATATTAAAAATTAGAGGTCCTACAATAGAACCCTATGATACCATACTTATACACAGCTTATCAAAACTACGCCCCAATTATTCCTGTCTTCTATCAATTTACATTTTAATGTGCTGTTAAAACATGCCTTCGTATTGATAATACTTTAAAAATTAGTATTTTAGTTATAAGTAAAGTAATGTTAAATGAATCATCATCATATAACGTGTGGATTTTCATTATTTCAATATAATGTTTAGATCAGGTCCTATTTAATTTATGTAAATTGTTATAAAGCATCAGTTAAGCAACGGATGCATAATACCATTAGTTTACTTTATTATTTTGTGTTTGATTTAAAATATTTCAAAATCTCCAGGCACACGTACACTTAAAATGAAATAGATGTACCGTTCATCTCAAAATCTGACGAATATTCTGTTACAATATGATTGCAACAATGCAAATCTAAGAACATATTTTTTTTCCGGTAAATAAGATAGTCTAGTTTACCTGTATTCCAAGCGAATACTGCTCTCTCCATTCCCCTTCCCTGAGTGCACCATCTATCAACATGGCAGAGTAATTGAGGTCTGTCCTTCGTTTAATTTCCTGATCGTCGATGTACCAAACAACATCGTAAGATAACGTCTCCAAGGTTACACCAGTGTTACCTTGTAGGTCACAAGTGAAGAGGATTTCTTTGTTTGGAAAATCTTCATTGTCGATCTCAAAAGTTCCTTCTACCAAAGATGTAGATACAGACGGTAGTACCGTTTGACTCGAGTCCCTTTCTGAAATATAAATATTTGTTTTCAGATTTCTATGTATTTTTCACTGTGTTGAACTAGACTGCTAAATGGTTATCATACGCAAACTTCCCCTTCTGCTGTATTTCGGAATTTGTTTTGGATCACTTTATATCTTATTTCAAAATGCGCTTTGTACAGTAACTTTGCTTTTAAATCTATTAATTTAACGCACAGTATCCAGTTGTGACTTACCTAAGCAGTATGCAAGCGGACAGAAAACTGCATTTAGCGGCCTCAACTCGTATACATAAAACGAACCACAGTTCTTTGCATATATAACTCCAGTGGAGGGACAGGTAGCATATGTTGTTCGTAGGCATATTGTTACCAACTGGGTTTCTCCTGTAGAAGGTAATGCTGAAACACGCGATAAATTCAACGTTTATTCAGCTACTGGTTATCTCCCTTACACCATAGCATTTACTAAAAGATAAACTATTATTATTTATTTAAATGGAATATTTAAATTTTCCATTCATATGAATTAAATAACGTAAAAAATACATAACATCCGGTAACTGAGAATCTGACAGATGTCGTCCTAACTATTTACACACATGTCATATACTCTACATTATCTATAGTATATAAACTGAGAGTCTGACAGGTGTCGTCCTAACAAATTACAAACGTCATATACTCTACATCATCTATAGTATATAAACTGAGAGTCTGACAGGTGTCGTCCTAATAAATTACACACATGTCATATACTCTACATTATCTATAGTACATGTATATCATATGAGAGTCTGACAGGTGTCGTCCTAACGTATTACACACATGTCATAAACTCTACATTATCTATAGTATATATGATTCTCAATAGAAATGCCATTAGGTAAATGAAATAGAAACTGAAAAGACGACATAGAAATACAACCTACTTGTTGGTTCGATCCACACAGGCTGTGTGGTACCACATCTGTTGACAGGCGGGGGAGTTGTTGCCACGGATCCAAACGGAACCCGGTACCATTGTTTCACCGTACCATTGTCACAGCGTACGGAGGAGAGGTCGGTGTCGTAAGTTGTGTAGCGTGTGGGGTCATCGAAAGTCACATGGTTACCGGCAAGACAGGGGTCGAGGTCTGGAGGGAATTAAAACAACAGTGTAGTCTTTATAATAGAGGGGAGTTATTAAACACCACGTAGGTATAAAAGAGGAACAATAACACATGTAGAAAATATAAATAATCAAATACAAACTCTTTTTTATCAAATTGATTTATCAGAGAATACTGATAAATAAGTTGAAGATTCCACATTCAACTTATAGCGAATATCACGTCCGATGCCGTTAAAACAAATTATGCACATTGACCATAAAAAAACTGGCTACCATTGTAAATATAACGTGTAGAAGAAAAATTAATGCACATTGTATGAATTCCTGTGGAAATTTTATCTGGATGCAAACGCATGCAATAACTAATGGTGAGAGTTAACGGTCATTATTTTCGATTTTTTTCTGCAGAATTTTGTTAGATTGTGTTGTATTAAAATCAGTTCTTACCTGCAGCAGTGACAGAAATCAGCCCTAGTAGGAAAAGCCCATATCTTAACATCCTTCTACGGTATCACCACTGGGAACGGGAATAAGAGATATCATAGCAAAAAGCTATTAAGATTCTGGCATTTCAGTTTTGGTAAATCCTTGTTTTGTTTTCTGTTTCCTCAATTAACCCATACAGGTATTTAGTTTACTTCCAATGTCTATAATATTAACTAGCAATTACTGTTATGTAAAGCTTCGACCAACTATTGATTATATCGGCACCAACATATCATTTGCGCATGTGCTTTACATTGCTACCCAGACAGTAGGTGTAAATTCTTGTTACCCGTTAGTGTTTCAAAATTTGTGACTCGAGTTTAAAAGTAGAAACAGTTTCGACCAATGGGTATGTAGAAAGGACATGCGTGACAGTAGTGTGTGTTCGTCCCGTTGACAGCCCATATACAGACTTCAACCAGGAAGTGTTTTTACACACAGCTATGTTAGACATTTTTTTGTAATTCTCGACTAGGTGGAGAACAACATGACACTGGGCACAACTCACTGGTATTGTCTGATCTTCTTGATCATTGGAGTCTTTTCCGTATCAGCAGGTAAGTAAAGGGGTAGTGTTAATCAGTGTAAGGATAACTTAGTACACCACATTCTTTGTTTACTCCGAATTAAGTAACCAAGGACAGTACAAGGCAATTGTATAAACATCAGAGATCATGTCCGACCATGTATGTTATAGATGTGGGTGACTGACCATGTACGTTATAGATGTGGGTGACCATGTACGTTATAGATGTGGGTGACCATGTACGTTATAGATGTGGGTGACCATGTACGTTATAGATGTGGGTGACCATGTACGTTATAGATGTGGGTGACCATGTACGTTATAGATGTGGGTGACCATGTACGTTATAGATGTGGGTGACCATGTACGTTATAGATGTGGGTGACCATGTACGTTATAGATGTGGGTGACCATGTACGTTATAGATGTGGGTGACCATGTACGTTATAGATGTGGGTGACCATGTACGTTATAGATGTGGGTGACCATGTACGTTATAGATGTGGGTGACCATGTACGTTATAGATGTGGGTGACCATGTACGTTATAGATGTGGGTGACCATGTACGTTATAGATGTGGGTGACCATGTACGTTATAGATGTGGGTGACCATGTACGTTATAGATGTGGGTGACCATGTACGTTATAGATGTGGGTGACCATGTACGTTATAGATGTGGGTGACCATGTACGTTATAGATGTGGGTGACCATGTACGTTATAGATGTGGGTGACCATGTACGTTATAGATGTGGGTGACCATGTACGTTATAGATGTGGGTGACCATGTACGTTATAGATGTGGGTGACCATGTACGTTATAGATGTGGGTGACCATGTACGTTATAGATGTGGGTGACCATGTACGTTATAGATGTGGGTGACCATGTACGTTATAGATGTGGGTGACCATGTACGTTATAGATGTGGGTGACCATGTACGTTATAGATGTGGGTGACCATGTACGTTATAGATGTGGGTGACCATGTACGTTATAGATGTGGGTGACCATGTACGTTATAGATGTGGGTGACCATGTACGTTATAGATGTGGGTGACCATGTACGTTATAGATGTGGGTGACCATGTACGTTATAGATGTGGGTGACCATGTACGTTATAGATGTGGGTGACCATGTACGTTATAGATGTGGGTGACCATGTACGTTATAGATGTGGGTGACCATGTACGTTATAGATGTGGGTGACCATGTACGTTATAGATGTGGGTGACCATGTACGTTATAGATGTGGGTGACCATGTACGTTATAGATGTGGGTGACCATGTACGTTATAGATGTGGGTGACCATGTACGTTATAGATGTGGGTGACCATGTACGTTATAGATGTGGGTGACCATGTACGTTATAGATGTGGGTGACCATGTACGTTATAGATGTGGGTGACCATGTACGTTATAGATGTGGGTGACCATGTACGTTATAGATGTGGGTGACCATGTACGTTATAGATGTGGGTGACCATGTACGTTATAGATGTGGGTGACCATGTACGTTATAGATGTGGGTGACCATGTACGTTATAGATGTGGGTGACCATGTACGTTATAGATGTGGGTGACCATGTACGTTATAGATGTGGGTGACCATGTACGTTATAGATGTGGGTGACCATGTACGTTATAGATGTGGGTGACCATGTACGTTATAGATGTGGGTGACCATGTACGTTATAGATGTGGGTGACCATGTACGTTATAGATGTGGGTGACCATGTACGTTATAGATGTGGGTGACCATGTACGTTATAGATGTGGGTGACCATGTACGTTATAGATGTGGGTGACCATGTACGTTATAGATGTGGGTGACCATGTACGTTATAGATGTGGGTGACCATGTACGTTATAGATGTGGGTGACCATGTACGTTATAGATGTGGATAAGAGTGTACGTTATATATGTGTGTGACCATGTTACCTATATATGTGGGTGACCATGTATGCTATTTAGATGTTGGTGACCATGTTAATTATAAATGTGAATGACCATGTACGTTATAGATGTGGGTGACCATGTACATTATAGATGTCGGTGACCATGTACATTATATATGTTGGTGACAGTGTACGTTAAGTTGTCGGTGACCATGTACGTTATAGCTGTGGGTGACCTTGTACGTTATAGCTGTGGGTGACCTTGTACGTTATAGCTGTGGATGACCTTGTACGTTATAGCTGTGGGTGACCTTGTACGTTATAGCTGTGGGTGACCTTGTACGTTATAGCTGTGGGTGACCTTGTACGTTATAGCTGTGGGTGACCTTGTACGTTATAGATGTGGATGACCGTGTACGATAAAGATGTGGGTGACCATGTACGTTATAGATGTGGGTGACCTTGTACGATAAAGATGTGGGTGACCATGTACGTTATAGATGTCGGTGACCATGTACGTAATAGATGTTGGTGACAGTGTCCTTATAGATATTGATGACCTTGTACGTTATATATGTACGTGACAATGTACATTATAGATGTTGATGACCTTGTACGTTATATATGTTGGTGACAATGTACATTATAGATGTTGATGACCTTGTACGTCATATATGTTGGTGACAGTGTACATTATATATGTTGATGACCTTGTACATTATATATGTTGGTGACAATGTACATTATAGATGTTGATGACCTTGTACGTTATATATGTTGGTGAGCTTGTACGTTATGTATGTTGGTGACAATGTACATTATAGATGTTGATGACCTTGTACGTTATAAGATGTGAATGACCATGTATGTTATCAATGTGAATGACCATGTATGTTATAAATGTGAATGTAGTTAGTGTGATGTACCAAACGTTTATACCACAGGTCAAAGATCCATTAAGTAACTTTATAATATTAAAATGACAACTAAAATGATTTTGTTTTGCAGGAAATCATAAACTCATATTCATATATGATGATAAAAATATCTCCTAATAATGAAACATGAACAAGTTGTATTAAATATTGTATCACTTCTTATTTTGTTATTTTAATTGTATTTTTAAGATCCTTGCTTGACCTACGAAGAGTTCCAGGTGGATTATAAACGGTCGCCAGGTCACGTAGCAACTGTATACGAGGATAGCCTGTGTGATGTTATGGTCCGTGAGAAGTGGTACCGGTTTGTCGGGGAAGCTGGTAGTGACATGACTAACGACAGAGAAAGTCTAATGAGGAACAGCTGTGGTACCTTCAATCCTCTCTGGATGGATGGTCAGTACTTTCTGATTTATGCTCATTTTCACATATATACCTTTCTATAAAGACCGTCGTTAATGTCATAGTTTTACCTTACACCGTGAGGTCCTAATAGTGCTCTACAACATTTACCTGGAATTCATATAACCTTTCATTGTAATGTTTAATTTTAAATGTCAATTATGTTATAACACATATTTTATTTAATAGAGCTGAGTACTGGGACTCTATCATGTATAATACATTTGCCTGTATTGAAAATTTAATTCATTATATATTTATTTTGATTAGATAAATCTACCAATTTTGAATAAATTCAAAGACTTGCTATTATTTTATGTATGCGACGAACTTGTTTAATTCATAAGAACACATTGATAATTACAACAGATGTCAATGGAATGAATTTACTCTAATTTAAGTTAACAAAGTAGACATGTATATTTTCAAATGTATCTGTAAAGGATTTTTTTTTTTAATTCTCCAGGTGAGATTCCTGACGTTGCTGAAGGGATTGTTGACAGAAAAGTGTGCTTAAAGTCACTTTTGTCCTCGTGCCACAAGTCATTCACAATCCAGGTTAAGAACTGCTGTTCATACAGAGTGTACTACCTCCACAGTGCGAACATGTGTCCGTCCTCTTACTGTGTTAGTAAGTACCATTTTCAGATACTCTTATAGATGTATTGAACATGAACAAATTGCAAATCGACCGTTAAAATGTAGAAAACAAAATTCAATATTTTTTCGTCCAAGAGATGTGGTGGAATATTACTATGGTATATCCGAATTTCTTTGTAGATAAAGGGTTAGACATTCTAGTTGAAGTATATACTAACTAGGTAAATAACCCGTCTACAATATAAAATGATCTATCGGAAGTATTATAACATTTCATCAAAACCTTGCAATACCAGAGAAAATAATACATTATACATTGTCAATAATACAAAAGACCTATACTTTGAAGTAAAATATCAGCCTCGTGACAGACACAACCATTCTATCTTGTGTAATATGTGTGTACCTTTCTTTGCCACCTATATGATAGTATTGTTTTCTTCTGTGTTTATGTGGAATACAATTGGTAGCATACTTAGATATTTTTTATAAACACTAAATGTTTACAACAGGTCAGTATAACATCACAAACGACAACTGTACAAACTCGCCATTCCCTACTACTAAAACGACAATGACGTCATCGGTATGGACAAAAACTACTGGCACGACATCTCAGACACAACACACAACTACAGAAAGTCCAACTCGATCAACCACTGCTGCTAGACAAACAACTCCGCCACCGACAATGTCGACATCTAGTGGCAGGATACAAACAACCTCGGAACAAACTACTGGAGACCCTGTATCTGGTTAGTTAATACCACCTTGTTGGCTTAACTTGATAATGATGTAAACGTTTGGAAGGAATGGCACGTACATTATACTTTCATTTAGAAAATTTCCTAGTTTTGTATATGTGTTGCTATAGAAACTTAACAGGGTCAAAGACATGACGAGGGTGATGCTGCCTATCTTAATGTTTTCTTAGATTCGTACAATTTCGAGTTATAAGCGACCACATAAGCGAGTATATTCTGATTTTGTCCTGTCTCTACCATTGTATGAACAGTTCTTTCAGGTTGAAATACTTTACGAGATGGAATAGCAACTTAAGCGAGTCTATTCCATAAATCAATATTTTGTCTTAGCTTCGAATAGTTTCGAGTCATATAATTATTCCGCCGCTACGTAAAGCGGTGATATAATGTTCCTATAGCGTATTTTTATCTGTATGAACAGTTATTACCTGATTATTCCTGACGTGGTTCGGATAGATTTCTCATTAAATCTTTAAACATGCATGGTTGGTTTTTCATAAAGATCCCAACCTGACATACGTGGAGCTGGATATTGACTGTGGATGATTGCCAGATCGTGCAGAAACTGTTTAGGAAAATAAACATATGTGACGTACTGATGTATTGAAATGACTTTGAAAATTATATGCTGTGCAAGAAAACGTATATTTATGAAATAATCAATAAATTCTTAATGATAAGAAAGTAGTTCTTCTCATAATGTAGCATATACAAGTTGTGTTAAATATTGTATCACTTATTACTATTTTGATAATATAAATTGTGTTTTTAAGATCCTTGCCTGACCTACGAAGAGTTCCAGGTGGATTATAAACGGTCGCCAGATCACATAGCAACTGTCTACGAGGATAGCCTGTGTGATGTTTTGGTCCGTGAGAAGTGGTACCGGTTTGTGGGGGAGGCTGGTGGTGACATGACTAACGACAGAGAAAGCCTGATGACGAACAGCTGTGGTACCGTCTATCCTCTCTGGATGGATGGTCAGTACTTCCTGATTACTGTTCATTTCCACATACAATTTGTATATACGTTTCTATAAAGATCATCGTCAATGTCATAGCTTTACCTTACACTCCGAGGTGTCAATAGTGCTCTACAACATTTACCTGGCATTCATACAACCTTTCATTGTTATGTCTAATTTTAAATGTCATTATTGTTATTACACATATTTTATTTAATAGGGCTGAGTACTGGGACTCTATCATGTATAATACATTTGCATGTATTGAAATTTAATGTATTATATATATATTTTGATTAGATAAATCTACCCATTTAGAATAAATTCAAAGACTTGCTATTATTTTATGTATGCGACGAACTTATTTAATTCATAAGAACACATTGATAATTACAACAGATGCCAATGGAATGAATTTACTCTAATTTAAGTTAATAAAGAAGACATGTATTTTTCAAATGTATCTATAAAGGATTTTTTTTTTTTAATTCTCCAGGTGAGATTCCTGAAGTTGCTGAAGGGATTGTTGACAGAAGAGTTTGTCTAAAGTCAGTGTTCTCCTCGTGCCACAAGTCATTCACAATCCAGGTTAAGAACTGCTGTTCATACAGAGTGTATTACCTCCACAGTGCGAACATGTGTCCGTCCTCTTACTGTGTTAGTAAGTACCATTTTCAGATACTCTTATAGATGTATTGGACATGAACAAAACATGATTTCACTGCGATGTTCGTTCAGGGGACACAAATGACATTGTAGAGAACGGGTTATACATTCCGGTAAATGATGTAAGTAAATAACTCATCTCGAGTGTAAAATATACTTATTAAATAATTATTATAGCGTTTTGGTTATGTTACAATACCAGAAACATTAATACATTTAACGTTGTCAATGATACCGAAGACCTGTGCTTTGTAGTAAAATGTCAGCTTAATGTCGACACGACTTTTTTCTATTCCTGTGCTGTTTGTTCTTATTTCCCTTGGCTACAGATGAGATATTTTGTTATATGACATACAATATGTAGCAAACTTAAATGTTGTTTATATCACTAAGTTGTTTACAACAGGTCAGTACAATGTCACCAACGAAAACTGTACAAACTCACCACTACCTACTACAACAAGGAGGACGTCACCGGTATGGACAAGAACTATTGGCACGACATCTCGGACACAACACACAACTACAAAAAGTCCAACTCGACCAACCACTGCTGCTGGACAAACAACTCCATCACCGACAATGTCGACATCTAGTGGCAGGATACAAACAACCTCGGAACAAACTACTGGAGACCCTGTATCTGGTTAGTTATATATCCTTGTTGGTTTCACTTGATGATGATGATAATATGAAGGACGTGTGACACGTGCAATACACTTTCTATCAGAAAATTTCCTAGTTTTGTATACTTGTTGCTGTAGAAACGTGAGACGGTAAAAGTGGTAAGGAAGGTAATACTGTTTATCCTTATATCTACTATCTTCATACAATTTTGAGTCATATGATAATATCCCCGCTTCGTGAACTAAATGTAAAAAAAAAAAAAAAAAACACTTTCAAGTCGTTTTTTTCTGGCAAATTTTGGTTAAATTTAATAAGAATATTTTCCTTAGACATAATTAGAACATGTTTGGGAAAAAAATGTTATATATATATATTAATGACACTTCATAGGTATGTTTGCATTGAAATATATTCGGAACATTCGAATATGGGTATTATCGGTCAATAGTCACTGTAGTTGTTACTAGAAATCGAATTTTAAAAAATATAACATTAACGTTCCTTGTTATCGCTATATCGGTCGTATTTCCTGACAGATTTTTACGAAACTTCACATGTATTTTGCCTAGGCAATGCTTTTGACACTTTCAAATATGTGCATGATCGTCGATCAAAGGTCAAGGTCACGTACACATGTACGTTAACAGGATTAACAGATAATAGATGGATAGTACTTTGGAAGGGTGCATTAATTTTTTTCACTTTTTCTTTGTTATACTATTTAACACTTAATAAATTACATATCATCATAATATTTCACACATACGATGTCATGTGTATTTCGTAAATTCGGATTCTTGCTCATGAGCAAATATTTGTTGCTAAATATTTTCAGGTGTTGGAATACACAGAAAGATTATAGAAAACGATTCAAATGGATACCTCATTCCTGTTGCTGTGGCGGTAGTGTCGGTTGGTATACTAGTGGTGGTATTCGCCTTACTTACCAAGTAAGTTGACTGATAACGACGATTACACCTCCAGCAGACAATAGTACACGCAACCACCTATCGAACACATCTGTTATTTGAAACGAACATAAATCGCATTGATGGAATATGCAGAAGTTGGCACATAATACTTACTTTACTGTATAGACCAAAAAGACAAACCAAGTTATTTGAAATAAAAAAATATAATGTCTATATTGTAGTGTATCAATTTGAGAAATATATTATGTATCTACTAAAGACTTCGTTCAATGTATTATAGATAAAGCATTTAAATACATCATGTAACGTATTGAAGATTAAATATAGGGTATGCCTAAGAAACACCTATTTATACTGCATCATAAGAGAAAAATATGCTGTATCTAATAAATTGTTTCTGTATTGTATAATTGGAAATATATTTGATATAATTTATAATATACCAGGTAAAAAGAATTGATCATCTCCACTCCGAAGCCTTAGGCCTCTTTTATGCAAGTAGCAGCATTGCCTCATTATTTGCTAATGGCTAAAAACATAAATACAAAGGTTTGAAGCGAGCGTTTTTTTACATACATAATGAGTATATGATAATTGTGCACACCTCTACCATCCAACTCGGAGTTTTTTTGTTTTTTTTACATTTCCCGTTCTTCTTTCCCAGTTATGTCCCTGCCTTCAAATCCAAATGGAAGTCCAGGATGTACCAAGTGCAGCAGTGAAGACTTGTGTACGGACCTATTGTATATACAACGTGTATGGACCTATTGTATATACTACGTGTACGGACCTATTGTATATACTACGTGTATGGACCTATTGTATATACTACGTGTACGGACATATTCTATATACTACGTGTATTCTGTATATAATGCGCAGCTACATTTGCATATACTGTTTTACTACCTGTGAGTATATATCTCTATGCTGTTTTACTACCTGTGAGTATGTATCTCTATGCTGTTTTACTACCTGTGATTATGTATATCTATGCTGTTTTACTACCCATGATGATGTATATCTTATCATACAATACTTTGTCTGTACTTTGTGTATAAAACGTAATGTGTATATACTCTTTACTACTTGTACATTGTTTATAGATATATATTACATTCTTCTTGTACGAACACTTCAAACAAACAAAAACTCAAATATTGTGTCATTTTATAGTTTATATTTGTATTTACATTGTACAGTGTTTTAAATGTAGGTCGTTAAATAATTCATATGATTTCTCATTCATTGTTGTCTGTGGTCGTGTGTCGCCTGTTGTCCGTGTATCCTTGACACTCGAGGGGTAAGCTATCTTACCATCTCTCCAACCTGGGAATATGTCATAGCAAAATTAAAGACATGCGGCTAGCTCTTTCATTGGTCTAAGGTAAAATATTCTGACCAATCGCTAGGCTAGCACCTGTGTTTTAAAGATTACACAAGAGCGACACCTTATTTCAAAGCCTGTCAATTTTACCTTACGCGGCCACATATTATTTTGATGTACATCCCATGATCACACTTATCTTCCGGACTCATCCACAATATGACGTACATCAAGCCTTCGAGTTTGTCCTGTATTATTACAGGGTTGCAGAGAACGTGAGTTAGCGTATCCCCTGGCGTACCGAGGGTGTTGTCCGTGGTATGTCTGTAAACAATGACCATTTAAGAATGCTTCTGTTACCTTGAGGAAACCAGAGGTCCGACAGTGAGGCTAAAAGTAGTGAAACTTGCTAACATTTAAAAACCCGTCCAGTTCAGTCCCGGTGTCCTATAAAAATTCCATCCCCATAAAATACTCATCCGGATGAATATTTAATTCATTAAATACTCATCCCCCCATAAAATATTCATCCCCCCTAAAATTTATCAAAACTTTTTACATAAAAAAATAGTTCGTATATGTCTATCCAGGTAATTATAATACACAGGGTGTCACCTGTTGGGGCTTATCAATACAGGTGAGAGATAGGTGACACTGCATGCTGACCAGCACACATGTGTGGCTCAGCTTTACACATGAAAATAAGCAGCCTTATAATACATGATTGTTAAAACAAAGAAATACACGTTTTAAAACCATTTAAATGCAACTGGCATTGGTACTCTGAATGCTGAATTTTGTAAAGTGTATTCTGAAAAGAAGTGTTATGTTTAAATTTTCTTGATATCTCCATAAAATAACAATCTACCCGATACTGTAGTCATTAAATACCTATCTACCCCCTATCAAATAACCATCTACCCTATACTGTAGTCATAAAATACCCATCTACCCCCATAAAATACCATCTACCCTATACCGTAGCCCTTAAATACTCATCCACCTCAATAAAATAACCATCTACCCTATACTGTAGTCATAAAATACCTATCTACGCCCTATAAAATAACCATCTACCCTATACTGTAGTCATAAAATAACCATCTACCCTATACTGCAGTCATAAAAATACCCATCTACCCCCTATAAAATACTCATCTACCCCCATACAATACCCATCTACCGTATACTGCAGTCATAAAATACTCATCTACCCTCATAAAATACCCATCTACCCTATACTGCAGTCATAAAATACTCATCTTCCCCCATAAAATACCCATTTACTATACTGCAGTCATAAAAATACTCGTCTACCCCCATAAAATACCCATCTACCCTATTCCTGCAGTCATAAAATACTCATCTACCCCCATAAAATACTCATCTACGTTATACTGCAGTCATAAAATACTCATCTACCCCCATAAAATACCCATCTACCCTATACTGCAGTCATAAAATACTCATCTACCTCCATAAAATAACCATCTAGGTTATACTGCAGTCATAAAATACTCATCTACCCCCATAAAATACCCATCTACCCTATACTGCAGTCATAAAATACTCATCTACCTCCATAAAATAACCATCTAGGTTATACTGCAGTCATAAAATACCCATCTACCCCCATAAAATACCCATCTACCCTATACTGCAGTCATAAAATACTCATCTACCCCCATAAAATACCCATCTACCCTATACTGCAGTCATAAAATACTCATCTACCCCCATAAAATACCCATCTACCCTATACTGCAGTCATAAAATACCCATCTACCCCCATAAAATACCCATCTACCCTATACTGCAGTCATAAAATACTCATCTACCTCCATAAAATACCCATCTACCCTATACTGCAGTCATAAAATACCCATCTACCCCCATAAAATACTCATCTTCCCTATACCGTAGCCATTAAATATCTATCTACCCCCTATAAAATAACCATCTACCCTAAACTGTAGCCATAAAATACTCATCTACCTCAACAGGATAACCATCTAGGTTTTACTGCAGTCATAAAATACTTTTCTATACCCAGTTACATGTTCATACCCATCTACTTGTCCATAAACACCCGTCCCCTCCCATCAATTGCTTATTTACCCCCAACAATACCTATATCCTATAATGTACCTATCTACTCTCTACTGTAGTCATAAAATATGATTTCATCTCATAAAACAACTGTTTACCAATATTGCTTGATTTAATAAACATTTGCACCACTTTAATTACTTGAGATTCCATGCACCAACTAAGCTGACTTAAGAAAGAAATATTCCTAAAATGTAAAAATACAAAAATATTAACAGGTAAAAGCAGTTTTTCTGCCATATTCATGCATGGATGTTATTATTAATTGAAAAATTTAATTTTTATATCTATAAACATAACAATTAATATACTGCTTTTCATTTTATGTTTGGATTGCTGTGAAAAAAAAAATTCAAAAAAATTGAAATAATAGTTAAAGAAATTAGTTTTATGATATGTAAATGACAGTCTTCTTTTTTTTAAACCTGATGGACACTATAATTATATAAATATATCCCTGTGTCAATGATTTGTCAGTATATTGACAGCTGATCTTGACCACACCTGTATATTGTCACCAGGCATCAGTAGCCCCCAGGGCCCAAGCTCCCACAGGTGACACCCTGTGTATTATAATTACCTGGATAGACATATAGGAACCATGTATTACATGTAACATGTTGTAATAATGCTATAAATTTTGTATTTATGTAAAAAGTTTTGATAACTTTTAAGGGGGATGAATATTTTATGGGGGGGGGGGATGAGTATTTAATGCATTAAATACTCATCCGGATGAGTATTTTATGGGGGATGAACATTGTATATGACACCGGGTCTTACAATCAACTACTCTTCTTCATGGAGGGAAAGTGCGTTGTTAAAAATGTCAATTGCATTACCCTGGGTCATCCATACCTAAACATCTCCCACGAATTGATGTAAAATGTGTTACACAACATTTCGTTTTATAAAATAAAAGGTTTTACATCATACCTGATATATCTTACACACATTAGATATGTTAATAATGCCCCCAAATGTATGAATCACACACTAAAGTTTAGCTGAAAGCGATGTTCTGTGTCTAAAATACTGTCAGCGACTGATCATTGTGTTATAGGTAACAAATCGGTCAGATCATAAAGTATCGACTCGTATGTCACCTGTATTATAGAATTAACACACTTAAAACGATTGTTCATGTGAACGAAATAGGTGATGTTTTTAGATATATTATGCAAACATTTTACCAATAAATGTATTTATATTCACAGACATTCTATTTTCTTTTGTGCGATATATAGTACATGTAACAAAGGTACATAGGTGTTTCGTCATCGAACTGTTTTCCTGCGTTAACAGGACGATTTAATAACGTACGTCTTGTATCAACTTATTACACCAATCTCTCGGCTAGTGGCCGTTAACAACAAATGAACTTTGACATTATGATAATTACGACATAACCTAATCATATATCAGAGTACAGTCAGCATCGAAAAGGGGATCTTTCGTATTGTTAATTGCTACAAAAAGCATTCAGACCCATTCGTGTTGTTAATTACAACCTAGAACATTCTGACCCAAACATGTTATACAGGATATGGTAAGATAGAATATGAGTAATTCATATTCATGGACGTACTGTGGTTAATGCATAAATGATTAACTTTCATATTTACTTTATTTATATTAAACATTTTAATCTCTTCGTGATATATTCGGCCATTTTTCAGGATATCTAATAATTTCATGAAAAATAACAAAAACAACATTTGAAATAATATGACTGAGAAAAATCCCCGGAAGAAAACAAATTCAATTGTATTACAGTTTTTTCTTTGATCACATCAGATTGTGATGCTGACTTCTATTACACACTGAGGAGAAACGAAATCCATTTACTTATTCTCGATGACCTGTCTCTGCATAAATAAATCGAAATCCAATCCAGACAATATGAAGTGTTATTCAACGACATTTTTAAGGAACTATTTCCACAAAATATAACGGGTAATTTAGAGCCAATATGACAGATTAATTATAGACGATATGATCGGTAACTTACTGACAATATGGGAAGCTATTCTCTGACATTATGACGGGTTACTTACCGATAATATCACATATTACCTATAGATTTACTAGTTATAAACAAACAATATGACGGGTGCTTAATGATCAATATTGCTGGTAATTTACAAACAATATGACGGGCTTCTTATGGACAATAGGACAGATTATTTATGGAAAATGTGACGGGTACTTTAGAGACAGTATCACGGGTAATTTTTGGACAATATGACGTATAATTTACAGACACTTTGACGTGTTATATACGGATATTACATAGGGTAAATTACAGGCAATATGACGAATTACGGATATTATTACTGGTTACCGACAGGCCAGTTTATATTTTCTAATTGGTTAACAAGCGACAACAGACGGGCTACAAACGTAAGATATTACAGATTTTTAGAGACAATATGGCAGGACAGGCTAAACAAGAATACTTGTAACAACGAGCTAGTCTGAAATTGATCTAGGTATTATACATAATAAATCCTTTATCTTCTGTGTAACTGAGAAAAAAAGTGAAAGAGTAATGAAAGTCAGTTAGAAATTTTATGAGTTTCATATTAAATCTACCAATACGCTTAATGTTTTTCATATATTTAAAATTATGGTGTTATAAACAGTTAATACAAAAGACAAATCACATTTAAGTGACTTAAGCTTTGTTTTTATATACTTTACTCATTATAAATACAATACTAAGAAAATGTTACTTCTTCGTTCTCTTCTAAGTATTCGACCTTTGTGAGTTATATTCTGTCCCTTAAATGTGCACGTGTTATATATATGTGCTTTGTACATAACACATAATGAACCAATAGTTAGTTAAGATCAATTACTGCCTTTAAATACTTATCGGAGCAGCACAGTCAGATAGAATGACACAATGGCATTTTAATAGTTCTAAACCTAAGTTAGCGGTTCTTTCTATCAACGCCAAGTCACAAGAAGGCCCAAAAGGGTAGAATCAAGAAGGAAGTAAAACATATTGTGCTAGACATAACATGTCCACCGTAAGATGACATGTTGTTGGGACAAACAAACTAACAACTATTAAACAATGGTATTGGGACAGGCAATAACAAGATGGCGCTGATTCCTGTGATCCTATTTCTATACTACGTTAACTGTTTTACCACAGGTGAGAACAATAACGTGTTACTATTTAATTGTAATTTCCATTTTGTATATTTCGATATAGCAGAATACGTGTTAATATCATAGTACTATTTACTTGTCATGGTTATACAACACTCCATTATAACGATACAACAGGGACTCTACTTCCATATTTGTTGAAAGGTTGTCATCTTGTATATCATATTACACTAACATGGCGAATTATAAACATTTATAATATTAAGACATCACTTTACCCTGAAGGTCCATTTTATTTCAAACCTGATTTGAAGATATATCGATTTTTAAAAACCCCGAAGGTATTAGCTGCCAAAATTATCAAACAAGTCAATAACGGAATACACTCCAAAATAAAGGAACAGAAAAACAGGAACAGAAGATACTCGAAAATAAACTGAAAGACAACCCCGCAGAAAAATATTATATTGTACCTTATCATAAACGTTTTTTCCTTCTCGTTGTTATTAGTTATTTTTTTCAACAGTTCAACAGTTTCTTACACTCATTTGTTTCCTCTGCTGGTTTCGTTACAGCATCCGATCCGTGCTCCGACTACGAGAATTTGAATACGGACAACACAAGATCACCCTCACACATCGAGGCAGAGTTTGCCAACGCTAATTGTGATGCGACTCTTAACGAACAATGGTACCGGATCATAGGAGATGCTGGAACAGACCTGACTAACGATAGCGGACTCATTCTAGGCAATGCGTGTGGCACGTTCAACCAAATGTGGATGCGTGGTAGGAAGTTTTCTACAAATATTTAAATATCTTATTTCAGGCGAAAGTTATCATAACTAAGGCATATAATTAATGTATCAATCTGATGTACTGAAAGGGGAAGTCCGCAAATTGAAAGTCTTGAGTGTTATTTTAATTTATTTTGAGAGGTCACTTATTAGCTTCGTACAATATCTACCCTATTTAATCTTATAATGTATTCGTCCCAGGATACACATTCTTAGCAGCTGAGTTTGTGAATTTAGTATCGGTTTTTGTAAAAGGATTCGTCTAATGCCGCATTTTGAAATTGTAATATTTTACTCAACTTTGAAAATATTAAAAATAATGAGAGGAAATATGGTGCATGTATTGTATTTTTTGTAAGTTGATAAAAAAACAAGTAGTGTGCATATATTAATTTATTAGACTTGATTGAATGTGACGTGATATACCCTGCACTATTTTTATTTACAGTTTCTTATAACAATCTACAAAAACAATCAATATGTTGCTGAACTTCACACATTTTCCTGTAGAACTCCAGTACCAAACTCTTTTGGCGACATTTTGTTTCGAATTATTCTATAATTCGATTTGATAATCCGTTAAGCAAATCTTAAGACATCACCAACTCAATGTAGAAACCATCTTTTCCATTAGTGTAGTTCCGCAGTTAATACAATTCCAATCGTTATTACGAAATATAAGGTACATTTTGAGTAGTAAACTGCCATCTGAGCTCTGAGTAAATTACACATATGTGCATATTTTTTTTCTTTAGAAACAAAACCCCTTTTCCCTGTACCTTACCTGTTATATTGCAGAATTTATTTCCGTTCTTACATATTTGAAACTTAATTTTGCTGCCAGTGCTAAGTACACAAAAATAAGAAAATGATCTATTGAATTACCTTACAGGCTCCATTCCGGAGGTGGCAGATGGAATAGTCGACAGAACAATTTGCCTGAAAACGATCTTCTCGTCTTGCCATGATTCCTTTACGATACAAGTGATGAGCTGCTGTTCATTCAGAGTGTACTATTTGAAGAGTTCTAATGGCTGTCCGCATTCCTACTGTGTAAGTGGTAAGTATACATTTTTTTCCATATTTGCGATTCAATGGCACTTTTCATTGGTAAATACAGTGTACCCATGGATTATTCTGCGATAGACCATGCGCGTGAGATTATAATTTTTTCAACTGACCCACGCTCTTTAAACGCAGGATTCGCAAGAGGCCTTCGTTAATGTTTTTTCAACATTTTAACACCCTCAATTTAAATTCCAATTTGATACACTCACATATGTTGACTATTTATGAAATAAGCAATACATTGAATCATGTATGGAAGAAGTTACTAGTTACATGATGGTTAAAGTGTTTGATATTTTTAATTATTTACTAGTATATCATCTACGACGATACACTTAGATCACCAGAAAGTCAAAATATGTGATAAGTGTGGGATTTCATTTTTACAAGTAAACATCACAAACAAATTGATTCCCTTTTCACTTTAGCTAGGTGACATGCAGCAACACTAGGCAGTCCATGACTTTTTGCCATTTCCGTTTTTATTTAGTATACATATTTCATCTATGTTGAAACAAAGCACTATCCTAGAACGTCACTTATCTTCCAAAGATGCCGGTTTCGAATCAACGGACAGTTGCCCTGATCCCATAACAACAACAACCGAAGAAACAACAGTTGATTCTACATCAATGATAGTTACAGCTACTGAATATCCGGCAACCACAACCAGCGGCTCAATAACCACAAATCAACATCCGTTAACTACAACCAGCGGCTCAACAGCCACAACTCAACATCCGGTTACCACAACCAGCGGCTCAACAACCACAACTAAACATCCGACAACCACATCTAGCTACTCAACAGCCACAACTGAATATACTACAATCACATATATTGATTCAACGACAAGCTCGAAAACTCAAAAAGGTAAATAAAATAGCGTTAAGATGTGTATAAACAGGAATATCTGTCCTACTAATGCTTATCCTGTGTTTTTGTATCGTCTGAAATGTTTTGTCAGCAATAAATCAAAGATATTTATCAATGAGAAATATTGCACGTACCAGTCTGGATTGTTCCCAATGTCAAAAAACATTAACCAGGACATTCACAGAATGTTTTCGATGATCGAAGTTGACTAAACTCTCTGACCCGTATAGCTGAAAACAAAAACGGTACTTGATGTTAACTTACATAGAGTTTCTGTTTGTGTTGTATGAAAATCAACAAAAGGATACTGAAGTGCCAACAAAATCCTAAGTCAAACTTAAAACATGGTAGAATATGCAGAAACGAAAGATTTTTCGGTGATCTTTAAACAAAATAGGTTATTGACCAAGTGTTCTGGAAAGGTAGGCGTCTACTGCTTTATGCTCGACACGAGTTATGTAAATCAAAGTCAAATCCAATCAATGTCACATTATCTAAGAGGGGACCGGTACTGCCAACAAAAACAAATGCCAAGTTTTATGCAAAAGGTAATAATCGTCTTCAATGTCAAAAAGAAATTTAAAAAAGTCTAAACACATCATGATGGCGACCATACCACCTGTCCGTAGTCTTCTTCAAACTGCATCTTTAGAAAGTTTGTCCGTCAGCAGCCGACATCTGCCACGGGTTGGTGTTGACTACCGAATCAACTTCGACACGTAAACACTATAGGTTTGTGAAGCAGGGATGTATCTATCAAGAAAGGTTAAGTTCACAATCGAAAACCCAAACAAAATAAGCAGTATGATCTTCGTATGTTAACGTGTAAGCAAACGTCAGTATATAATTATACCTGTCCAACGTCAGTATATAATTATACCAACATCGCAGGAATTAGAAAAGCAGTTTACACATTAAAACATGTGATCATTGTATTTCAGAATACGAGTCGGATCTTAAGATTGTCAAGAAGGATAACACATTGATCATCGTCTTGATTCTGATTATATTAGTGGGTTTCACTGCAGTTGTTGGGTAAGTGCAAACGAAAATAAATCTATATTGTTGTAACAACAGTCATATTACTTTGCCGAATTATTGAAATTATGCATGTGGTTGTAGTGGTAAACGTTAACAAAACATTAGTTATCAAGTCTTATACACCCGAGGAAATAAAGTCAATAAGCTGGTATTCTGTTCTCAATATAAAACAGCATTTATTAATCCAATTGAATATCACAGATATACAATTGGATTAATTAATGGTCTACTTACCAGGGAAACAGTGAAAGGTGCTCGCCGTGTGCGAAGTGACAGGTTTGGGGACAGGTGACAGGTATCGTGATACACTGAGCATGCGCGGACCATTCACACACTCACACAAGTCTCTCACAGCTCGTGCAGATTTCGCGCGCGCTGGCGACATTGTGTACTAAGTACACCCGGTTACACATATATTAATTTTGTTAAATAAGAAAAATGTACATTTTTCCTGTTTTCTATATTTATATACGACAGGTTGTTTGACGTTTTAGATTTCAGGGGAAAGGTTATTTGAATTCTATAACTGCTTACTGTTAAGAGTCAATTGAAAGCATTTTTTCTGTATTTCAGACTTTTCATATATACCTTGAAGATTAAGAAGACTGTTCGCAGTAATTCGCTAATGCCAATATGTGAAACTACCACTGGTTTTTCATCTTCGCCGCCTCCTCGCTCGTACGCGTTCGTTGACCGTTCGATTCATCTACTTGTAGCTAACGGGGGTATTCCTGGAAGACGATATCTCGCGGATAGGGGCGTTCCGGATTTGGCGCTGAGATACGATGTAGGTGGCGTTTAAGATATGGCGTTTAACCTACGCTGTTACTAAGGAGGGGGAGGGAGGGAGGGGGGGGGGTGTTCTTAATTGACGTTGGGACATGCTGTTGCCAAGGGAAGGTTTAAGATATTGCGTTGAGACATACTCAACGTCATGTTGTCGGGGGGCGGGGTTAAGGTATCAGGACGTGCTGTTGCCAAGGGGGACGTTTAAGATATGACGTTGAGATAATTGTTGCTAAGGTGGCGCGCTTAATATGGTATTGGGATGAGCTGCTGTTAAAGAGGGAGTGTTCCTGAACTTTTTGATAAATGGTAAAGGGCATAATTAGGTACCATATAATTGATAGAACAAGCTAGAATGAAGTCTATGTAAAGAACACCATAAATACTCTATAACAAACGACCAACCCCAGTCTACTATAGTGTCGAAATTGATGTGTCCGACATGACGGAATAATATAGACTATTTAAACTTCGACAGGGTCCTTAGGTAACACTATCTTTGCCAAACGGATCAATAAGTAAAAGATGTTGATCAATCTTCAGTTGCAGTTGTGTTATCTAATACTAGGTGTTGTACAAGTGTTAATCCAAACATAACCTGTACATAGCCGGCGATTGCATGTATCGTTTTCGTTCTTAACCAGCAAAACGTATGTCCAACACACATTCAACGCTAAAATCTTAACGAACATCAAACGGTCAACGCCAACGCAACGCCAACGGAATGCAAACGGAACGAAAACGCAACGTAAACGCAAAGCAAACGATTGCCTAGGATGGAAAACAATTAATAACGTTGAAGTATCGGGATGATTTATGACAGTGGATTGGTGACGGACAATAAGTTACACGACATAGTGACATTGGCGAGGTCAACCCCAAAAATATCTTCCGATCTCGCCACTCTTGTTTAACAATTTATGCACATATACATTTTAGGTAGAACATCAAATGCTTCAGCTGTCTGAAACACAATTTGATGGTAAGGAAAATATCATACGAACTGTAATGACAGTTTTATTCTGGTTTTTCTTATAAAATATGAAATTTTGTACAGTCGTTTTTGTTGNTTATTCTGATTTCTCTTAGAAAATATGAAATTTTGTACAGCCGTTTTTGTTAGTTAAATAGTTTTATTCTGATTTCTCTTAGAAAATATGAAATTTTGTACAGCCGTTTTTGTTAGTTAAATAGTTTTATTCTGATTTCTCTTATAAAATATGAAATTTTGTACAGCCGTTTTTGTTAGTTAAATATCAGTCAAAGACATGGTTATGATATAGATATTTTCATGTCGCGCTTTGTTTTTTAAACTGTTAATGCTTGACACGTCATTGTAAATGTTGGACATCATTAATGTAATGTTATGTATTCCAAATGTTTTCAAAAATATTATTACTTCCAAGTGCTTAGATAGTATTTTGCAATCAGTCATCAATTCGATATACTGCTAAGCTTTTCGGTTCATTAAACCATGGAATTATACGAAACGCAAAATTCTCGATATCACCTTAAAACAATAAACATTAAGATATATAACCTCCGGAAATTACTTGGTTGAAACAATCCACTGACTATGAAAGAATAGTGGACTATTAGTATTTTAAATGCGTATCTATATTAATAATGTTGACCAAATGTCCGTTTACTATACATTTTGTTTACAATATATTGTGACCATTTGTTTAAAGACACTATTGACAAAGGATAGAGACCATTTTCTAACGAACGTGGTATCTACTAACGCCGACGGTTCAAAAAAAAATATTGTAATGAGCTCAATGCCTTACATTTATTGTTTCAATACAATTAAAAGATATGTAGTTCTTATCGGTCCAGATTGTTTATCCTTCTTTTCATTGAAACGTGTGGTTATAATTGAGTTTTTTCTGCAACCGCAACAGACAACATCAATGTATATATATGAGATATATGAGGCCATCTTTATGCAAAACCCTGACCTGTAATGTGTAATGTTTCTAGCTGATCGACGTTTGACCGGAGTCGAGAGGCAATTACGACTTCCACTTAGGATACTTATCTTTATACAGTTAAGTTTATTTGGTTGGTTCTTTTCGATTGTTATAGTCATAAGAATAAAGAAATGTGATCTTGCATTTATACATTTCGGGATTTCTATTTCGGTTGTACTTCCTTCTTCAATATTTTCTGCGAATTATTGTAATTATTTTATCTGATCGATTGCAATAATATAATCGTGAATCAAACATTGATTTAAAATTTTAGACATTCGGTATACTTAACTGATCAAATTTATTCATGCAAGTAAGTACTTACCCACCGTTTATTTATCATTAAATGTGTATAACATATGGACACTGTTAATTAACTGTATGCTTCAAATGCAATTTCATTTCTTACACATATTTAGATGATTTTTTGTATTGTGTCCCTGTTATCTGAGAAGGGTCATTTAAACCCATAAGCATTTTGCCTGACTTTATTCTGTTAAATCATAAAATATAACAACAACATCAATAGTAACATTAACGTACATGTAAACTGAGCTGATTACAAAATAAACACCTAAACCGTACAATACTTGTGACACCATGGTAGGGGGTCTTCCCCGAATACCAACTCTGCTTAAAATCACATGTTTACATAGGTAGTCAGTTGTGATGATAGTGAGTTATAGTCTATTGCAGTAAAGTGTACAGGTAAATTGCACAGGTAAATCAACTTCTGATAATTAATCAGATGGTCAATAGCTGCTAATAATTGCAAAATAATAATTAATATTTAGAGTTCCGATCCCAAGCTGTTCTTCTGATAACTAATCAGATAATCACTAGCTGCTGATAATTGCAAAAGAATCAATAATATTTAGAGTTCCGATCCCAAGCTGTTAAATGGGTAATGTATAAAACAGCAGCACACTTTGGAGAATTATCATATTTCGCTCTGTACTTGGAAACATCAACTTCTTTACTCAGTGAATGTGAATTTTGTATTCAGAATTTGTCATCGTTTTAGTTAAACTTGTACTTTCAGACTTGTGTGATTTCTCTTATAATTATTGTCAAATAAAACTTGTACTTATTTTCAGATTTGTGTGAACTTGTGTGACTTTATCTGTTATTGTATACTTTGATAAATCAACTACAAGATGGCAAACGCTCATTGCTTAACTTGTCATTGTTACATTGTTGCGTTGTAATGTGACTAACCTATCAGATCTGCATTGTAATATGTCTAACCTATCAGATCTACATTGTAATGTGTCTAATCTATCATATCTACATTGAGATGTGTCTAACTTTTCACATCTACATTGTGATGTGTGTTACCTATCAGATCTACATTGTGATGTGTCTGACTTATCAGATCTACATTGTGATGTGACTTATCTATTATATCTAAATTGTGATGTGTCTAACCTATCAGATCTAGAGTGTAATGTGTCTAACCTATCATATCTACATTTTGATGTGTGTTACTTTCAGATCTACATTGAGATGAGTCTAACTTATCATATCTACATTGTGATGTGTGTTACCTATCAGATCTACATTGTGATGTGTCTAACTTATCAGGCTTACATTGAGATGTGTCTAACATATCATATCTACATTTTGATGTGTCTAACCTATCGTATCTACATTTTGATGTGTCTAAGCTATCGGATCTACATTATGATGTGTGTTACCTATCAGATCTACATTGAGATGTGTTTAACCTATCAGATCTACATTTTGATGTGTCTAACTTATCATATCTACATTTTGATCTGTCTAACCTATTATATCTACATTGTGATGTGTCTAACTTATCAGACTTACATTGTGATGTGTGTTAGCTATCAGATCAACATTGAGATGTGTCTAACTTATCAGACTTACATTGTTATGTGTGTTACCTATCAGATCTACATTGTGATGAGTGTTACCTATCAGATCTATATTGTGATGTGTCTGACTTATCAGACTTACATTTTGATGTGTCTGACCTATCATATCTACATTGTGATGTGTGTTACCTATCAGATCTACATTGTGATGTTTCTAACTTATCAGACTTACATTGTGATGTGTGTTACCTATCAGATCTACATTGTGATGTGTCTAACTTATCAGACTGACATTGTGATGTGTCTAACATATCAGAGATATAGTGTGATGTGTCTAACTTATCAGACTTACATTGTGATGTGTGTTACCTATCAGATCTACATTGTGATGTGTCTAACCTATCATATCTCCATTGAGATGTGTCTATCTTATCAGACTTACATTGTGATGTATCTAACCTATCATATCTACATTGAGATGTGTCTATCTTATCAGACT